AAAAATAATCATAATAATGATAATAATAAAAAATGAAAAAAAATGATAATAATAAACGTCCCATAGGACAGTTATTTGTTGCTCTTAGCTTTTTAGACACTAATATAACCGTTCTTTAACATCAAGTGCCAGATCTTTGGACTAACATCAGCGATCGAGGTTCTCCAACTGTCTACATTTTAATTATCTTTCCCTGTCACCCATCTGTTTCGGTTTTCTAAATAGTTGTTCTAGGTCTCTTCCTTATTTGTTTGACTTACATTTTGTCAGTGAGAGATGGGTGTTCAACTGTTACAATGGGGATAAATTAATTATTATTTTTTAAGCAGATCATCAAAATAACTCATACATTTTGATTTAAGCTTCTATTAATAGCATTAAACGTACACACACACACACACACACACACACACACACACACACACACACACACACAAACACACACACACACAAACACACATTGAAAGACACATATATACATACACACATACACGTACACATACACACACACATACAAACACACAAACGTACTAGAAACATCAAAAGAAAGCGTTGACAAATTAGAGAGAGAAATTAAACTATTGGACGGGGGGTGGGGTGAGGGTGGAGGGGAAGGAGGTGTCAGAAATGACATTTATTTTTTTATGTAGGTGGACATTTTAATGCAAGTTTTTAACGAGCATGTTGTTGTTTCAGTAAAAATTGTTGTTGCACTGTCAACCTATAAGACAGATATGTGGGAAGTTGGAAAAATACTTTTTACAACATCATCAAGAACAACAACAACAACAACAACAACAACAACAACAACATCAAAAGCAAAAACAACAACATCAAAAGCAAAAATAAAAACAAAAAAAACAGGAACATCAAAAACAACAACAACAACAACAACAACAAAAACAACAACAAAAACAACAACAACAAAAACAACAACAAAAACAACAACAAAAACAACAACAACTTACGCCGTCTGCACGACCACTGTGATGGCTGTGCTGGTCATTGGGTGACCCTTGTGGTCAATGCCGTTAGCCTCACACTTGTACTTGCCGACCACATTTTTAGTGGGGTATAGCCACTGGAGAGAGCACGAAAAAGTAATATTATGATTTTCTTTGGTTATATATCTTTCTTTTGTTTTCGTTTTCAACGTCTATTGCCCTTATACCAAAGTCAAGCTCATTAATGCT